CTGCCTCATTTGCAAAAAAAGCTTTCGCATATAGCGGAAGTGTAAGCTCGCTTCAATACCATCTCAGAGCTAAGCGCCCAAGCATCTCGCTGCAACAAGAATCATCTGCAAAAAAGCAGACGACCATCGACATTTTCTCTTCGAGGCCCCTTTCTCTGAAGAAAGAAGAAACTATTGCACAAGCCCTTACATCTTGGCTTGTTTCTTCTAGCCGGCCTCTCAACATTGTGGAAGATCAGGGACTAGCGAAAGTTCTTCAGATTGCCTTGGATTCTCCGTCTTACCAGCCGCCGTCCCGTCGTGCAGTGAGTGCCAAGGTGGATGCCCTGTATACCTCAAGACGGGAGGGTCTTCAAGCAGAACTCTCGGCAGCCAGCTTCATCAGCTTAACAGCGGACTTCTGGACCTCCATAGCCAATGACGCCTACCTCGGGATAACGGCGCATTGGATCGACGATGACTGGATGCTTCGATCGGAAACATTGCAGGTGAGACACGTACCTGAGCGCCATACAGCAGAACAATGTGCCAGTGAAGTATTGGAGACTGCTACATATTGGGGAATCGTCGAAAAGGTAGAAGCTGCCTGAACCGATAACGCTCGTAACATCTGTCTTGGGGTGGAGAGATCAAACTTTCAGAGTCTGAAGTGCGCAGCTCACACGCTACAGCTGTGCAGCGTGACGGGCGTGAAGCAACTGCTAGCCGCCTGTCGTCGTACTGTGGGTCACTTTAAACACAGTTCGAACAACCAGGCCGTCCTTTCAAAACATGCCGCTGAACTCGGAGCACCTAAGAAGAAGCTTCAGCAGGACATCGCAACACGGTGGAACAGCACGTACATAATGATAACCAGCCTGCTTGAACTGAAGGAGCCTTTGCGTCGCTACATGGAGGACAGCAGTACCATTAGATCGTCGATTCCCCGCCTCACAGACGTCGATTGGGACATGTTGGAGTAGCTTCGGGAAGTTTTGAAGCCCCTGCTCGACATTACTGAGCTCCTTGGAGGGGACAAGTAGGTTACTCGTTCTGTACTTATTCCAGCCTTAAAACTGCTTAAGAATAAAATGAAGACAAATGACTGTGACCCTGCCTTCATCTGCCGCTTCAAGGCCATGCTGGTGGACTTCAAGGCCATGATGGTCGATGAGAGGCTTCGCGCGTGGCCGCGGTACAACGGCTATGAACTGGCAACGTGTCTCGATCCTCGTTTCAAGAGACTCGCATGCATCGAAAAAGATCGCCGCGAACTTGTGTGGGAAAGGCTTTCCCAGCTTACACGTGCGTCTTCGGACGATTCTACTGATCTCACGCCCAAGAAAAGAAAAAAATACGTTTTCTCGGAGGAAAATGAAGAGCCCACCACCTCCTGCCAAGTGTCGCTTTATCGATCGATGGCTGAAGTGACGCACGATGAACTGGACCGACTACAGTGGTGGCGAGGTCAGGGCTCCCTGTTTCCTCAAATTGTGCCAATTGTGAAGAGTGTGATGTGTGTCCCAGTCACCTCAACGCCCTGCGAGCGTCTGTTCAGCGCAGCAGGGATGATCGTCAACAAACAAAGAAACTCGCTCCTGCCAGAAAATGCCAACAAACTTCTTTGCCTCCGCAGCTGGGGTTGTGATCTGTGAGTGTGTTACATCAACATTTATTCTCAATTAAGTTTGTATATATGCGCCGTTTATCATACAATAAAGCAAATTGTAAGGACAAAATGTCTACTTTTGCTTTTTACTAAAATCAACCGATTAATCGGTTAATTAATCGATTAAAGGGTGGCGATTAATCGGGTTAAAATTTTTAATCGACGCCCAGTCCTAGTTCTTACGAGTTGTGAATGCGAAAGCAGGCGTGCCGTTCTTCCGCTACCGCGTTCCGTTTGAAGCGTATTTCCGGCGGTCGTGCGAGCGCTCTCCCAGCTCTCCCTGGGCGCGCTAACCTTGGACGCTCCGTGTTAACGGGGCGCTAACGGACACGCAGCGCCATCGCGTGAGTGGTCGGGGTATTCACTGGACGCCATATTTGAGGTAACTGCTCACAGCGCACGCCCGGAAAGAGTATCCGGTCAGCTCTGGGGCAACCGCACGAGAAGAGGGGAAAAAGAAATCCTCTTATCACCGGGACTCTCCTTTGTGGGTCCCAGGCTTCCCCAAACGTCGCTATTCTCCCTCTAGAAGATTATAGAAGATTAACTTGCCACTCAAAACTCGTACAAAAGCATCTTTCCCCTCTCTCTCTACCCCCGTGGTCAGGAAGCAGCAGCGAGCTCAGCTATGACGGCCAGTGAATACTCCTCGACGCGCGCCAGCCAATGGGACTGAAAGCGAAATCTATCAACTTTACTCCGCTCCTTTCGGATCGGGAAAACTATGTGCCGTTGTCTAGGGTTTTCATGTGGTTTCATAGCGCGCAGCTGGCTTCACTTGAAGAAATGACTTAATAAATCAATTTATGTTGGGATTTTACTAATAGCACATGGTTAAGTGGGCCAAAAAGAAAAAGTTGAAAGTCAAAAGCCTGATTTTCGGTACGAAAATTTGAAAACATAGCGGACTATTTCGTACCTCCTTCCCTTCGTGAGCTCTCTGCCTTTTCACTGTGATACATCCGCGGTCCCCGCAGCGCGCCATCGTGCCCAAACGCACGTCACTCGACACCGGACCTCACTTGTTCCCTTCACCCTTAAGCTGACATTGCGGTGGAAGCTACGCGCTTGCCGAACCAATCAGCCGCCTCCCTTTCATCAACTGACCTTATTCTCTGGGCATGGGTATGCGCGAGAGAGCGTGATCCCGCGGCATAAGTGTGGCTGGCCCAACGAGCACGTAGCTTCCACTGCACTGTCAGCTCTTGGGTGAACGGGGTGGGGAAAGCAACTTTTGTCTGAATTTTGAGCAACAGGCTAATTTTCTAGGGGGAGAATGGCTGTGTCCCGGTACACACACGAGAGTCCGAGCAAAAGGAAACGCCCCCCTTTCCGTCTTCTTGAACTGTTTGGTAGAATGCGCGATTTATGAGTTCAAAAGGAAAGCTAAACAGGAAAGAGTTGGAAAAGCGTTTCGTGACCTTTGCCGCGCTTCAAACTGATGACGTCGGCTTGCTATGCTTTCGCATTAATAAAGCGAAAAACACCGTTGGTATCAAACAAGGTAAAGAAAGGAGTGAACAAAAACAGCACTTTGCTCCGACAAAAAGGTTTTGAGTTCTTGTTTTATTTTGTCCTGTCTAATGTGGGGCCCAACCTCCGCACATGGTCGAACTAGGGTGCCTTTATGTCCCGCTTGCGAACATGAAGGCACTCTAGTCGATCCCGCCGTATTGTTTACAAAATAGCGTAAGCTCTTTTTTCGCGAAAAGTATTTGTATTTTTGCAAATACTTTGTAGTTACTTTAAAAAAAAAAAAGTATGAATGTCAAATTTGGGGGTTTTACATGCCAAACCAACGACGGGCACCTGGCACGCCCCAGCGGAGGACTGAGGATTAATTTCGACCACCTGGGGATCTTTTGACGTGCAACCGAAAGCTCGGTTACCACGGCGCCTTCTCCGCAATAAGCCTCCGTCATATTGCGGGCAAAAAAAAAAGTATGTAATTGCTATTTACTTAAAAATATGTAACGAGTTACAGTTAGAAGTTACCTAAAAAAAGTAACGAGTTATAGTATTGCGATTGTATCCCGGTACTACCAAAGACTGAGGAGAAGGTGGCGGTTCATTCAGTTACTTATCTCAACTTGGAATTCGTATTTTCTTAATGCTAAAAAAGTAATGATTATTTAAGTACTTTTTTCCCGATCAGAGTAATTGCAAAACTTTAAATTATTACCAAAACTACATACAAACTTGAAAGTATAAAACAGAGAGGACGAGGACGGGAACAGGACATCTTTCCATACTGTTTACTTTCATACTGTTTTATACTTTCAAGTTTGTATCTATTAACCAACACGCTCGTTTTCAACTGTACCAAAACTACTTTTGCAATTTTTTTTTTTTTTTTTTTTTTTTTGTAATAGCGGGAATTTTAAAGACGTCCCGAACAGGAAGAGAAAGAGCTGGGCGCTTGACTCATTCACACATTCACCCGTGCGCGGGGCGTTGCTTTCGTTGCTCAAAGAATAACGTCTCAGCGATGACCGTATACCAGGGCAGCAGTCCAAGCCACAGAACACGCAGTGTGTCGCACCCTCCAAAGCACGAGTGCGTTGTCTTCTCTTGTGAAGAGGGGAAAAATAATAATTATTCAGGTTGTTATGTATATACTGATTATCTAACTGTGATCTAACCCGGCCATTTCCTGGTTTGAGCTTCCACTCAATTTTTTCGTGCCCACGAAATTATATCATACCATTTCTACTTTAAAGATATAAAAATGACTCTTAATGATCTCCAGTTGTAGCAAAATAATAAAACGATGGACTTGCATTGTACTCAGCTCGGAAATACAATCAATACATTTCGTGAAACGAAAGCACAAAATGTGACGAACGTAAAACGCTGATAATGAATCATCACACAATGGGTAACAAATGTTATATTTTATGGAAGTGCTGTCAAATCAGCAACAGTGAACGTGCGTATCACTTAAAAGAAACTGGAAAGTAATTGCTTTACTTTAGAATATAATACACAATTGTAATTAATTACTTTTGTTGCAGCAGTCATTCCAATTTTAATTCACTACGTCTGCAGCGAAGTAGTATGCTTCATAGTTAATTACTTTTTCGAAGTACAGAGTTTCAGTAGATCGTTCCGATACCTCCAATACCGATATGATGAATGCGCAAAGGCGTCGGCGTAGTATCGGGTATCATTATTGGAGTTAAAAAACTACTAAAACTCCCTCTACGATCAGTCCCTCAATATTTATAATGCTGCACAGAATCCCTGAAAAAGTGAATAATGAGCAAATCCGTGTGCAGCGTGAATTGCATGCAAGTTTCCATCGTCCACGTTTGATTAAAATCTTTGTGAAGGCAGACTTTATAAAAACATCCACAAAACGAGACAAAAACTATATTTCATCTCGCACAGGTTTCGTTTGTGGTTTCAACACTAGTGGCGCTAAAGTCTTCGACAATGGGCTTCACAATATGCTGCAGAATGGTCTCCGTTTTCTGCGCCTGGTCACAGTCAATGCGGCTCTTGGAGATGTGGATCGGTGGCAACACAAATTCCCCACAGTCACACTTGGCACCAGTCACAAAGTCAAACGTTCCCAGGCGAGCATTGCAGCTTGGACAGTACAGCTTTCCCTTGATCCACTCCCCCTGTCAACAGAGACGACAAAGGATAAAAAGTCACTCAATGCTGGCATAAAAATAGTTGGCTGAAAAGAGCCTTTAACAAGTGACAGGAGAAGTGCATCAAATTAGTGTTCCCATTCTGAATGCAAAATAATTAATCAATCATAATTTCATACATCGAAGTTTTAATCAGAAATGATTAATTTTTATCATAAAAAATAACTCAGCAATAAAAGTGAGTTTATGCTGTGAAATCTGCCAAAGCATTTTTTTCAGGAAAAATCTTTACTAGCTTTGCTATATTACTCTACATGTCTGTTCCAGTATTCTAAGAAAAAGAGGAGTGTTGGAAAAATACCTGTCTTTATTCACTTTCTTTAACCTTGGTGGGAGTTGGTTCATTTACAAACTGCTACAATGGTTATCCTTGGACAAAGTTGACAAGTTTTATTGTAAACCAACCTTGTGGACATTATTTAACTGTTTCTCATACCCGGGGAGACTATGCGAGATGGAAAGAGCTGAACAATACGCTGTTCTAAAGTTTTTCACATTGAAACGTAAAAATCAAAATTAAAATTTTGCCCATGTTTGCAGCGGTAGTACACTACCAAAAGGCACGTGCGACGAAAATGCTGCCAAAACTGAAGAACTCATGCTTCGAGACATACAAACAAGAAACAAATATGTATGAGTGACCTTGAGGACTGACAAATGATACACAGCATTACTCACAATTTAAACATCAGTAGAGTCGCATCAAAATGGGTGTCCAGAATACTGATGCCTGTTTGACGCTACTGACAACTGAATTTTAGTTGGAAAAACACAAACATATATACACACTTGGTGATACCTTACTCAGAACAAACCTGAGTTCCTTATCTGATAAAACAAATGTAACATTCCATTACAGCATTCTTTTTATGACAAATATGACAAGTTGAAAGAGCTCACAAAGAGAAGAACAGCGATCAGTTAATACTGACTGCTAAATAAAGTGCTGTACCCCAAAGCCCTTGCTCTCCTAGACAGTTAATCCATGAGAGTCCTACCACCAAGTTACTTTCTTTTCTGGGCCAGAGAAGTAACATGCTGAAATACCTAAATAAAATTCATCTTAGAAGAGATGGTTAGCCAACTGCCATAACAGCAAAAGGGAATCGTGATGTGATCAGTCGAAGTCATTCAGGAGCACCTTTTGGAGAAACCAGAAGTCAATTTTTGAGCAGCGAACAAAAGTTTTGAAGAGCAAGGATATATTTTATTTCATTCATTCCACTGCAAAGACTACCTTAAGATTCATGTGCTTGACTGTTCAACTAAATGTTATGCCTTCTTTGTCTCCTTACTGCTGTGCAACCACTCAATAGCATCCATTGCACAGAAATCAGTCTGATACCCCCAAACTCTCCGCAAGCTGTTCAGTTGTACTTAAAAGCACGAAAGACGCAGCAACAAGAATGTTGAGATGGGAGCCATAATTGATGCCTAATGTAAGGCCCATTGTAGGAGCCACTTTTGAAACATGCCGAGTTAAATGTAGGACATGAACATCATCTGCATGTGGTTATTACAGGTATAGAATCAAAGGTAAACTGATTAGGTATTCCACTGGAACAATGCTGGAATAGAGTACCAAATGTTGAGTACCAGATTGGAAGTTTTGATGAAATTCTAAGGGTGCAAAAAAGCTGCAATTCTTAATACTGTTAAAAAACTAAAAATATCTTGTAATTTTATTATGCACATCAAAGGCATCATACAAGTGCAGCTCTATGATGATGTAAAATCAGCATGTAAACCGTAAATGTGCCTTAAAAAGTCAAGCTAAACTCGCCAAGGTTATTCCCAAGATTTGATTTGTCTACAGCCAAAGCTATTTATTTATTTATTTATATGTAAAAGTTGAGAGGTGTCCCCCAGGGCTCTCTCTGTGCTGGGTCCTATGCTCTTTCTGCTCTATATAAACGACATCATTATTGACATACAATAAAATATAAGGTTTTTGTAGACAATTGCATTATGTATAGATTAATTACTAATTCTAGAGATGTTATAAATTTACATGGTGATCAGACAGATTTTTTGTATGGTGTGATACCTAGAAGACAAATTTAAATGTTAAAAAATGTGTACACATCAATTTACAAAGAAAAAAATTCCATTACCTCTGCTTACATAATGAATAATGAAATAATTAAAAATAGCTCAAGTGTTGAATATCTGGGTGTTCTGTTATCCAGGGATGATTTATCATGGAAGGGACATGTTAAAATAATAGCTCTGAATGCCATATGTACGCTAAAGTTTATACAAAGAAATTTTCAACAGGTTTTAAGACAAGTTAAGGAAACCTTATACTTTACATTCATTCGTCTGTGCATTGAATAAGCTTTAAATGTCTAAGATCCGCATCAAATTTATTTATTAGACAAACTTGAAAAAATACGAAATCAGTGTGCTAGATTTGTATTAAACAAATATGAAGTTGGAGGGAGTGTCACTAACATGAAGGAAATCCTACACTGAGAGAAACTGAGTGAATGCAGAAAGCTTTTTAGGCAGAATTTTTAGGTGATATCTACGACAATAGACTACTAATCAATAGAGATACTTTTTTACAGGAAGCTTTTTATGTGTCAGGAAGAACAGATCACCCAGACCCCAAGTCAGGCTATACCCTGTCACACTGATAATTTCGCTTATTAATTTTTCCCGAAAAACCATTGAAGGGTGGAATAGGTTGCCGATGAATGTGTTCAAGGCAAATTTTCAAAAAAATGTTCTCTGGTGCTCAACAGTGTTTTAATATTATATTAGACTTCATAAAAATATAGTGCATCTTTGTTTTACATCTGTTCCTAAAAAAAAAAATTATATAACCTATTTTCGGCAATGCAAATTTTTCAGGAAATAAATAAAAGAAACTACTAGCTGTTTTATGCACTCAAAAACACCAGACAAGCAACAAGAGTGTTACGATGAGAGTCATCCTTTTTGTCCAACAAGCTCCGCTGCCGCAGTCGCTTTTGAACGACATGTCTAGTTCGTAAAAGATGGAGCACAGGTATCTATAAGTGGTAAGTTTAGATATGAAACTAAAGGCAAATGTAGTTGTGATGCACTGAAATGATGTTCGAATAATGTAGTTCGAGAACAAAATCAAACCTTTTGCTCAGGTTATGCAGGCTGCAATGAAACTACAATTGTCAATCCAAATGAAGAATGATTTCTGATTTAGTGATGAACATCAATGGCACATCTCATGCATAGTTTTGGCAATCCAAAATAAGTGAGTGCAAAGTGCACCCCTTTCAAAAATTCAGCTGAAATAATTAACTAATTAAGGTTATTCACTGCCTTCCATTCATCCACTACTAAAGCTGGTTTATTTTTAAGTCTTAACGACATCACCTTCAAACAGGTTAAGGCCTGTATAAAAATGGCAACTGAGTATGGTATTTAAAATATATATATATATGTCAAAGCTATAGTGCCATTCCAGTACACATTTTTTGTTTAAAAATTATGTTTCTATAGCCAAGTTCTCTCCAATCTTAAATTTTAAAAACAAGGTCACAACCAATTATGCACGCAACTCATCAGGATAAAGCAGTCGATATAGACTGGTCGAACATTTATTGTGACAATTTGACTGCAAGGCAAGTTGTCCCATCAATATTTCCCAAATGTATTCTTTTTTTTTCAGTAGTATATTGTTTTTGAGGAGTGTACTTCCCATCAAGCGAAGAGAGATATGCAAAAGTGGAATGTCTACATCACGGTGTCACTTCCCCGCGGTGCGCCAAAGCTTGGTGAGAAGCGCACTCAGTGAAGCTAACTAACTCCTCCGAGCAAACCACGAATAGTGAGAAGTATTGCAGAACTTCCGAATACTCTTAGTATTCTATACAAAAATACAATATAATATTGCATTAGTGTCAGCGATAATCAAGTTTAAAAAATTCGCACAAATTTACCGTAACGATCTGCCAGTGCTGCAGGTCCTGAGATCATAATTTCACATGTAAAGCTATCACTTCAAAACACTCGACGCCGAATACGCTTTATGCAAGGATACGATCGAGAAGACAGAAATGACTCACCCCGTCTAGCTGGTCTGTCACCCAGCCTGGCAGCTCCTCCTCTCGCACGTACCAGACAGTGTCGATCTTGTTCACCGGGCACGTGAAGCTAACGCGGCCAGACCACTGGACACCATGTGATGAAACAATGTTGCTGCCTGTAAGGAGTGCCTGACGGCACTTCCTGCACCGGAAACCAGCCTCTTCTCCCATTCCTAAAGTTCCCTCCCTTCAGGATGCTGCACGAAAGGGTGCCATAAAGAAAGCGGCACAGGTAATCCAGCAATCAAGAGCACAAATTCTCTTAAAGGTATTCGTCTCGAGATCGAACCGTGTCGCCACCGTGCGGCCGAAATTGGAAACGCGCGAAAGCGGGGATACCGCTGTGCGTCTGCTGCTACGGGCGCACGCTCAGAAGCACGCATCTCGACGACGCAAGCCCGTTTCAGGCTGAGCTTGACATTCCTTATTAAATGTTTTATGTTTTTGTAGCCGTTTCGTCTTACTTAAGGCTGTGTTGCATCGTTTCCCATGCATAGAAATTTAGCAAAGCGATTATTATTAAGTCGGAAGCTTCCATAAAAAAATCCCACGTATTTTTGTTACCTCGCACAAACCGTGACTTTCATAAAGCATTGAATGTTGAGTGGGTCTGTGGTTTGATTAGAAAATTAGCCTGACTGATCGCTATCCTTTAATAGACTAATCAGTCAATAAATCCGTATGTTGATTTTTCACCGGTCATATTGCGTGAAAGACGTTAAAACTATACATTGTTTTACTGGTTTTACTATGTCATAAATGGCATATTGCATTCCCATTCTAAACCTCACGTTGCGAGCCCTACATGCATATCAACACGAGAAGCCTTTTTAAATGAAGCATCTTTTGAAGTTATTATTTAAACAGTATAATCACCTTCAGTAAAATGACAAGCACGCTGAAGTGGTTTACCGTGCAAGCCTGTGTCACAAAAGAAATAAAGACGTCAAAAATATTAAAGCAGGTATTATTTACTCCTTGTTGACTTTCTCCAGAACAAGAGTCCAATTAACCGGCAAAAAAAATTGCAATCAAAGCATTACTTGAATAATCTGAAAGTTAATCGATGAACTGCCCAATCCCTATATACGTTAGGTGAGGGCGGAGGCTGATCGGAAAGTCTCGTGAAGGTTGCTAGCCCTCATCAGTAAAGGAGTATCACTGCGGCCGATACTGTCGGTGTCGTGGTGCGCGTCGTTCGTTGGGGTTGCAAAGTCTACTGTATTTGAATACAAGATTATTTAGCCAGAAATTTATAGTATTAGCCTCTTGACATCCGCAGCCCTTACCAAGAAAATTGAAGCGGGTGAACCCACACTCCCGAGAAAAGCATTTAATAACAGGAACATTGCTGCGTAGCTGGGTTACACTTGTTTATTTCGGTCACGGCAGATATATTAGAACAGTCTGTTCCACTTGTTTCAGTTGTCCTGCCAACCGTGCAGTTTGCAGATCTTAACTAGAAGAGACACACTCCCCTCATCGCAACGCAGTAGATTTGTTCAGACTCCATAAAACTTACCTACACTATGGTACAGTAAAAGGGCAGAGGAACTCAATAGCATGGTAATTTCCAACACAGCGCTAACTTATCTTCATTCTAAATATTTATATTACTGCAAAAGCTAGAAGTAAAAAAAAAATCATAGAAGCTGCGATTTCACAGTCCACAGTACCGGTATTATGTTATCTGGGTTGGAATTTATTGTTTTTTTTTTCCCACGTTGATGAACCGATACATTTATTTTAAAAAAAAATATTTAACATAAATATTCCAGTTCAGCCGGAGACAGGCATCAGTCGTGGTGATCCATGCTTTCCAACGTCTGCCTAGAACAGACGACGCACCCACAGAAGCGATTATATAAATTTAGGCCGCACGCTGGCAACACGATTCGATCTTCACTGAAGCACCGAACAGTACCACATCCTTTTCCGCTAGAATTGATTTCCCACCAATAGTATCCGACAAAATAAACGCAAGAATCTACGCCGTCTCGCGCGTGAACGTGGAGAGCCTATGGGGCGGCCGTTCTCCTATCCCCGATTTGATGATGATGATAGCGCGACCGTAGCGCCACCTCTAGGTCGATCTCGAGGCCAATACTACAGAGATTATTGATGCGTCTTTTTAAAGCATGAACTTGACCTTCTTTCTACTCATCAAGGCGCCGAGGACCTGGCACTCGCGATTTGCACAAGTGCACTCGACGCACTTGTCACTCGAAGCCAGGGATACCTCACAGGACTCGCGCACCCAAACCAGTTTTGAAAATGCTTCATGTGGCTGACTGCGCACCTAAAAAATTCAAAATCATCATAGTATCAGTAGTAGGAACACGTGTGCAAAAGCAAGCGATAATGGCACGAAATTTCGGAACAAGCGAAAATCGTTCCGCTGTTTTCGAAAAATTAGGGCATTTGCTGAACACCATAATCTAAAGCCTACTTACTGCACATAAAAGGCGGATATGATCATGTTGTGAACACAGTTGCATTTTCTCTACGATAATTATTCTCACGTATGGTAGTGGCATGTATCTGTAAGAAACAAGACTAATGCTATACGTACGACACCGTGCACCCAAACGGAAATGGCTATACGCACGACGCAAAACTTGTTGGGACTCGAATAAAACGAATTGTCAAAACAAGTTTTTGAAGCGTTAGCGTAGCCTAGTGGAAAGTTGCCCGCTTCATAACAGTCGACCCAGGTTCGATCCACAATGAGCGTAGTCATTTTTTTTTACTTTTTTTTTTTTTTTCTTTGAATCTTTGGCGATATTTACGACATCTCTTTTTTGCAATTTATCACTGAAAAAAAGAAATTTCATCAGTGAAACTTTGCTGAACTAAATGGCATGGGACTCCTTTTCCGGAGGTGTAATGGGGGACAGCGGGGCTCCGGTTGCCGGCTGGACGCTGCAAAGCGGTGTGTACAACGGCACACAGCGGGTTAATGGATTTGTAATTAGCAGCCGCAGACTGTCACTGCAAAGCAGCATGAATGCAGGGGGGGGGGGGTAGGATAACACGCTCCCCAGCAATATCTGCACCATCCGAAAAGAGGGACGCATATCTCAACTGCAAATTTCATGCTATTTGTGGCTGCTTTTCTGCGCGCGTTCCTGGTGCAATTCTGGTTGCGAAGTCGCTTATCTGGCGAAAGAATGTCACATCAAGTACAATGGGCGGCTACAGAACTTTTTCCAGGGGGGGGGAGCAAACATATTTCCCCCCCCCCTCCTTCCCCGAAATATCCTGGCGGCAACACCATGAAAGTTTGTTTCGTACGCTTGGACTGATTATAGTCCAGAAAGTTAGAGCAACTCTCTGCAGTCACCTCGTCCCACATCCAACGCACTAAAAGTATGTCAATAAAATTACAACCTACAAGATTACATAAAGGTTCGCAGTCATCATTTCAATTCTGTTGACATGAAATTAGACAGCTAATATGACTTGAAACCTATACAGATAATGCCTATCTCCTTACTTCATGCCTTCGGTGAATAATTTCCGCACCAAAACGTATTGCCAGTTCCTTTAAACCAATGGTTACGAGATTGTTATTGCAATACAACTGTCTGTATTCCTAACCTAACATTGCCTTTACCGTGCTACATATTGAGCATGTTCGAATTATGACCTAAGTAACCCTGTGAAAGAAGATAATAAACTGTAGAAACGGCAAATTCCCACAGCACACAAAGAGACACTTCATGCTATTACGCAACATAGCATACAATTTATTAAATGATATGTTTATAGAGTGCAGCTATCTTGTTCCACATACCGTAAAATACCGGGCAAGCGCCCACTCAAACTTTGGAGATAATTGCAAAAAAATGGGGGATGGGCGCTTGTCCGGTCATCAATTTTACATATACACGAACTCATCTCTGTTACGTCACGGCGCGGTGGTGGCGCATCGGACGCACTTCCGGTCCGGGGCTGTGGGCGGAAGTGCCCATCTGAGACGTGTATTCCTGCGTTGTTTTGAAAGGAACCAGGCCAAAACCTGCCTTCTTGTCAAAATGCTGCGACTGGGGCTGTACCAAAAGGGTCGAGAAAGGTTTGAAGGTCAGTTTTTATGCGCTCGGTTCGTCCGAGAACGTGGATATGTGCCGTGAAAAGGGAAAACCAGACGCCGTCGGACCACGATTGCTTGGACGGGAAGCCTTTTGGGTTGAATTCACGGATACTTCTTGCCATCAGATTTATTTTGTTCCAAAAGGAACGCCGGAAAACCATCAAGTTGTACGACCACCTGCGGACTACGTTCACTGCGTCTTCAAGTTCAAACGGTCGCCTGATCGTTCGAACTGTCGTCTGCTCTATCAAACGTTCTGCTTGTCGTCTGCTTTTTTAGAGGACACCGGTACGCAGACCAAACGTGGGCCCGGTACTTGCGATAAGAAGTAAGTGCAGGCCTCAAAAGACTCAGTTTGAAGGTTGGTAAGCAGGCTCGACGTAAACAGTAGATACAAGGTGACGTTGATCATTGTTACCAGTGGCCATCACCGACTTGTTATGCCTGATTCACTTGGTTAGATTCTGCTTGCGATTTTCAGTATCGACGTCGACCATCTCAGCTACGGTTCACGCTTTTGCAGTCCGAGCGACGTCGCTACTGAAAATTGCAAGCGAAATCTCATCAATTTCACTCACCAGCTCTTCGTGTAAACTACTGGAACATATAATTTCTAATTACATCAATGATTTCCTCGATAAACATGAAATAATCTCGCCTTTTCAGCATGGGTTTCGAAAGGGACTTTCTACTACTACTCAGCTCATTTCAACTATTCATTCTTTTGCTTCTATAGTAGATAGGCCTGATCAAGTCGACGTCATCTTCCTTGATTTTAGCAAATCATTCGACAGAGTTCCTCATTCCGGTCTTATATACAAACTAAATGAGATTGGCCTTCCCAGCACAGTTGTTCAATGGATTTCATCTTATCTTCAAATGCGAAAACAATTCGTCGATGTAGTCGGTCACCATTCTGATCCTCTTCCTGTAATTTCGGGTGTTCTGCAAGGGAGTGTCCTTGGCCCTCTTCTTTTTTCAATTTTTATTAATGACCTCACTTTTTGTATGGATAAAAGCGTGAGTATTCGTTTATTTGCGGACGACTGTCTATTGTTCAAGGATATTAACTCTACTAGGGACCAAGTTGTTCTGAACGAAAGTCTTAATGCAGTTTCTAGCTGGTGCGATCGTTGGGAGATGAAGCTTAACCAAGAAAAGTCGTTGTACATGCGCATCACTAACAAAAAGTCCTCTCATCAGTATGAATACTTTATTGGTGATAACTACATCTCTCGGACGATGAGCTTTAAATATCTTGGTATAACAATTTCTAGCAACTTATCTTGGTCTTCACACATTGAACACGTTTGTGCAGCTGCCCGTCAAAAACTAGGTATGATAAGGCACAAGCTTAAGCACGTGCCTTCTCATGTGAAACTTGTAGCCTATAACACATTGATAAGAACGAAGTTAGAATACGCCTGTACAGTCTGGGATCCATTCACAAAAAAAGATATCAAGATGCTGGAAGATGTTCAAAAGCAAGCAGCTCGTTTTATATTTAATCGCTACCACCCGCATGACTCACCTGCTGCCTTAATTCAAAGTAACAACATCATCTCTCTTGCATCACGAAGGAAGCTAGCTAGACTAAAATTTCTTTATCAACTCTGGTTTAAAAAACTCCGGCTTGAATCGTCGTCCTTTCTCCACCCATCCTCGACTAGGCGCACAAGGCATGACCATCCGCATAAAATAACTCCAGTATTCGCTCGAACAAATGCATTTAAATACTCCTTCTTTCCCAGAACCATAACAGAATGGAACAACCTACCTCATCAAATATTTATATCTGACAATGTTTTGGAGTCGATTGAGCGTTTGTTTGATGTGTAATTCTTTGCGTTGTGTTTTATTTTCCTGTTCCCCACTACCGCCACCCCTCCCAACTTCGTTGTGAGCTATTACATGTGCTTTATTACAATTTTTGCATAATTTTCCCCTGTTCCCCTCTCCCATTTTACAGATTACCTGGTGCTGGGTTTTTTTTTTTTTTTTACTCCACTTTTGTAACCCCCAATCCTGCTTGGGCCGCAATTGGCCTGCAGTATTCCTAAATAAATAAATGTGAATAAGGCTTTAGCGTACATTCTGCGGCGTCCACGCGGAATTAATCGCCGCAAGTCAGATTATTCACGCGAGGTTTTGCGGTGTATCGAGCCTCGTTAATTTCGCTGACGCCGCTCGAGTAGTCAGACATCGTTAAGAGGACGTAGAATCAACAATTCTAACGCAAAAAAGAGCGCGGGGACTCACACCGAGGCCGAGAACATCGCATTTCAATGGTTTGTTTATGGGCGACGGCGAGCTACTTGCCCACACCCCCATCGCGCATGCGCGGCGCCGGTGGCGTCCGCTAGGGGCGCTCCGGGCACTCCGGTTTGTTTGTAAACATGAGTTGGTGTATAAATGTACTGTGCATATATTCTCAGATCTCAAAAATTTGGTAATGGGCGCTTAATGTGGAATGGGTGGATGGGCGGTATTCTACGGTATATTCGGGCGCCTCACAATGTGGAGGGCACTTTCACACGACAGCACCTGCAGGAAAGATCAGACAAAGCTAAAAACGAACACACGGTATTCGCTAGGTCGTTGCCAAAGAATGTAGCCCTCAATGGACAGAAAAAGCCCACATATCACAGAATTGAACAAATTGGTTTCCAGCTTAAGATCGCAAGGGTGGTTCGTTTCTATCATAGTGGTTTCCAGCAACGGCCTCCAGCACGCCACCCCTTGCCATGATTGGTCGGTTTGTTGCCATGAAGCGGACATTTGAACATTGGTTTAGGCATCACCTTAATTTGTCGTTTTCTCAATAGCCATTTTGAATTCCCAGATACTAAATAGCATGTTGGGAACAGTAAATCCATAGAATTAAGAATATTTATTTGGTTTGGGTAGCTAAAAAAAAAAAACAACGCCGGAGTACCCTTTAAAGGGATGGTGAATCGAAATTTGGATTTCAAAAAAACAATGCTGGAGATGTAGGCGGGACGCTACAGTCCCTACAACACTACTAGTAAGGCAATATCTCAAATGGACGGCCATATTTTTGAAAAAAGAAGTCGAGATTGAACCAGGCCGACGAGGCGCGTGACCGTCAAGATACCTAGTTTCCTCCTCTCTTTGCTTCGCTCCCTCAAGGCCGCGAGGCAAAGAAGACGTGAGGCCGTTCCCTCTCCTTCTCGGAGAAACATGACGTCAACATTCCTGCCAAATGCGCCTTTTTTTTTAAAATACGGTCATCTGTTCGAGATATCGCTGTATGAGTGATGTTTTGGTGTTTGTAGCATCCCGTTGCACGCTTTTGCCACGTGTTTTGGGGAATCCAGATTTCGGTTCAGCATCCCTTTAACTGGTGTGGGTGCAGCCTTTGGTGCAGCTCTTCTTCTTCCTCCTCCCCTCCCCCTCCTCCTCCCCTCTTGCACCCTCCTCGAAATTCCAGGGGTGGCGTGGGTGCCGACGTTTCATTTCAGCGGTGGCTGGGTGCTGACGTTTCATTAACTAGTAATGCGACGCTGATTGGAGAAAAAAATGAAAGAACGTTTATTATGCTGGATTAACTTCGATTACATGGAGAGGTCTCTTTTGAGTGCATTACGTGGCATGTCTCTGGTCGTTCTGTTGAGCGGTTTCTTCCCAGGCAAGCACAAGCGGTGTCTTCCTCCCAGGCAGGCGCTATGGGCAAAGTCAGTTCTCGCTCTCGCGAAGCGTAACCAAGCTGCGCCCGCAACCCCGCCTGCTCGCGAAAAGTCGCGTATTGAGGATCCATTCCACATCTTGCCAAGGACAAGCAGACAAACGAGCTGGGCCAAGCTACGCCCACGGTCAATAGTACCTTAAGTGAGAACTTGAGATTGGGCGAGTTGGTTGTTCATGTTTGTCGACGTTTAGAGCACTCAAAAAACTGTCATTCAAGCATTCACACACCCAAAGAACCCTCCTTTCACATAGCGCTCACTAACAACTTTGTATTTCGTGTTTTACTTCGGCTTCTACTTCTTCAGATTTTTGACGATTTGCAAATAGAAAAAGACGACATAAGAGTAAAAATTCCTGTCTAATGCTTAGGCTAATTCGCGGCTAAATAATTAATCTCTTTTCGTGATAATGTTATCGACGGCGTACTAACACATTTGTCCTCTAGTCGTATGATACTGTCGGCTTCGATGATTTCCCTTGTTAATTGGTTTACACTTTTGCCCAACATGGTGCTGTTGTTGAAGTGCGCGACACATCCACAATCCCAACAGGGTATCCCCAAGTGGCCAGAGTTAGCGTTTACAATGTTGTCGGAGTGTTCTCAAAGGCGGTCATTTAAACATCGCCCAGTTTGTCCAACGTATTGTCTTCCACATGAAAGGGGTAATGAATAGACAACCCCCTCAACGCAAGGCACAAAGTTGGTCCTATGCTTCTTGGAGCAGCAGATTGCGGGATCCGAGGGTGTGGTGACGTTTTTGCGAAGACTGGACAGTTTGGTGGGTGCTGAAAACACGATGTCCACATTGACTCTGTTCACTGTTTCCTTGAGGCCGTGGGAAAAATTGTGGATGTAAGGGACGATGACTGGTCTTCGTGTCCTGTTTTTACCGATGTTTGCGGCACGAGCACATTTTTTTACGAAACGAGTGCGAGGAAAATGTCGGTACGACGCAGTCGGTCGAAAAATCGTTCCCGAAACCGGAAAGCCATGCTGCAAAGCTACAGCCTAACGAAGCGTAGCCATCAAAGGACAGGCCGTGAAACAGCACAACCAAATAGTGCAACTTACCAACTTGACAGCACTGATACGACAGATGCGGTGACAATATCGAAAAAATGTGTCTCATGTCTTTTGAATTTTACATTCTCCGGTAGTTAAGAGTAGTTGAGAGTCTGAGCACGCCACAGAGATTCTAAGAAACAGAAGAGCCCTCGAAGTTGAAAACGAAACTCAGTGATGCCAGACCAGCCAGATATTCTCAAATAAGTCGGTCAAATACCAAGATTCCGACGTAACGTAGGTAACGACTAAATCACAAACAATTTCAAAATTTTCCAAATTTAGTAAGATTCAAATTCATAATATAAGTAACTTGTTAGTGTTTATTGGTTATTGGGTTATAAGCTCGCCCATGTTTTCGTCTATGGTCGTTTTCGACTGTTTGGAAACAAGGACACGCTAGGTGACAGGTCAACAAGAATATGGCGGCAGAGGCGCTTGTTGGAAAAACGTGTTCGATGTCATTCGCTCTAAGCGCATAACAACGCGTGATAGAAAGTCTGAAGTCTACACATTTCGAAGAAGACATGAATGGCAACAGGTACAGGAACAACAATCGTTTTGCTCGGCCTCCCAATAATAACGCACGTTGGCGGAGTGACCAATCATTCTCTTGTTTTGGATATCGACGACACGAGTTGAATGAAGGCTCTCCACCGAACGTTGGCAGGAATGAAGCTCTCGTCCGTCGTTCCCCAATGCCTGGCACCGTCGACAGACAGGAGACGAACTTGGTCGGTAATTCCCGCGGTCACTCCCAACGCGGACGCGTCAGTAATGAAGCGTTTCGTCCGACGCGCTTTCAAGAGAATCGACTCGGGTCCCTGTACGATGAGCAACGCGCGGAACGCGAGATGCAACACGAAGACGCGATGTCTGAGGCGATGAAAGCTGCATTCGACACGGATTTCCGTCTTCAGTCTCCAGTCAAAGCGCAGGAGCAATGGCGATCTCAGCCCAAAATTTCTTACGGAAACCTAGCGGAAGCGCCGGAGGTGCCAAAGCGCCTCCCGCCAATACTAAAGAACTCTCACAACCCGTGGCAAGAGGATAATCGTTTTCGCCCAATTGAAAGCCAGCGTAACTCCGCGCAAGCCAGAAACCAAGAGCACAGCTGCAACTCTTTGGCGCAAAATGGCCAGCACGAGCCGAACACATTCCGAGACGCCAGCATGCCAAAGGTTCCTTGGAACCACGCACCCGAAATGCGCCCGGGCCCTGGTTTCATTGAAGCGCCAGAAAACAAACAAGGGCAACAGAGAGATTGGCATCCTTCGTCCGAATGCTTCGACCAGTCTAATAGCAGAGGCTATTTTGAAAAGCTGAAGCACCAGGAATACCACAAAAACCTGTTCGGGAACCGTGAAGCATTACTGAACAACCTTCATGCGAAGCCTCTGTGGAGCGCGGAGGGCAACCAGAACTCCTCGTTTGTAAATTGCAGGGAGGAGCTGTCATTCTCCACATTTGGCGGTGCAAACAGTCGGGGTAACAACTTCCAGACCCAGGAGAATCGCACAGCAGTCAGCAACAACTTTCAGGGTACCTGGAGGGACAAGAGTGAAGGGAACGGTAACATGAGGGGCAACTTCCGCAAGCCTGGGACAGAAAACCGCCGGGGAAACAGAGGCCGTCCTTGCTTACAAAGCGTGGAAAGCTCGAGGAAGGTGGAAAGTAAGCCCTATGCTCGTAACTGGAGCGGCCATCCCCCAAGTAATCCTCCAGCACCTTCAATTCCAAAAGAGCAACAACAGTGGGAGGGTGCCAGCAATCCAAAGGCACAGAAGTCACAGGAGCAGCGGCCGCTCGACGCTCGAGCCATTCTTGAGAGGAAGCGAAAGTGTGCCGCCGAGGAGGAGACCCCAAATCCGCAACCCCCGGTCGAAAACGACTTCGAGGGTGAGGAAAGCTCGGTGCGGCCTGCTTTGCCTCAGCTGCACCTGGGCAGATTCAGCGAGCACTTGGACCAGAAAACAATAAGGGTACAGAACACAGACAGTCCCCGGAACAAGAACACCCAACGTTGGATTGAAAGCCACTTCTCCGAGGTAATTACCCATAAAGCTGTCTCCTTGAGAAACTCACTGCAGATTGTATTGGTTGCAAGCAACCTTTAAACCTATCAGTCCACAATGTTCTGACTGCCCTCTGAGTTCGTACACAAATTGTTTCCTTGCTTTTAGGGTAACGTTATTTTTCAAAACACCTTGGTACTCGCGACGTGATTTGTTGCCACCCCCGAATACTACTGGGGGACCCCAGAAGTGGCTGTCGATGGTGTTATTGATTGTGAAGAAAACTGGGCAACCCTGATACTGTCGTGCTTACGCTTAACTGGAGCGCAGAGTCACATGTTTTCTCCCGAAATAGCTATGCTAGTCGCACTGGGGAAATCAATGACTTGATTCGAGAGTATGGTTATGTCCACTCATTGGGCATGACGAAAGAAGACTGAATGCCAATTAATGATAGAATAATGAATTAATTTGGACTTCTCGAGTCATGGGCCGGAAAGAGGGCGGGGGTGGGGGAGGGGGGGGCGGGGCGGGGCGGGGCGGGGGGCAGGACAGGACTAGAGCACTATATAGCTCCTACAGAGCAGAGTAACGCAATCCTTTGAACCCCGTGTTTTGCCGACAACATGGCCGACAGAGCGGCTCGGCGCAAGTCACGTGGTACTCAGGGTTCCAAGAGGCGGCCCGCCCTATGGGAGAATACATGGAGATCGACACAACACGGCTGATTAAAAAATGAACGGCGAGTTCACACTTTTCAAAACTAGTCTGTCGTGAAGTTAGTAAAGCACTAAACACTTTATCAAAGTTTTAACAATATCGGATGCGTGTGCAAATTTTGAGAAGGCAATTTCCAAGGCAATGGCGTTTGAAGCAGACTATTTTTGCTCGCAGCGGAGATGGGCTTTTCGGGTTGGCCGGAACGGGTCACGTGAATGGTGTGACGTCGCCGTGTCGTCTGCTGCATGATGCCGCTCAGGCAATTTTTAAAAAAAAGTCAGGTCCTTTGCGGGGCACAAAACTTAGCGCGAATTATTCTAAAGTGTTCCATTATTATGTCAAAAATGATTGCGATTCCGTACATTCCCACAATACTGGAGAAAAAACGATTTTCTCACATTCTCCATGCATTTCTGACCGCAGTTGGAACCTCCGGGCGTTCGCCGCTAGTCGCCGAAAGGCGGCGTTCTAGATTGCGCTACTCTGCTTCGAAGGAGCTATATAGTGCTCTAGACAGGACATACTTCACCTGACGAGACCTCGCCACCCTTTTACATTGCTCAGCAGCAGTCTTACACTGCACGTCACCCTTCGGCGACAACCTGGCTTCGGGGAAACGGCAAACTTTTTTTTTGTCCTTCAGTCATGTGGTGTAAGCAAAATTTGGCCACAGTAAGGAAAAGGATTTGATTTGTATTTCTGCTTGCAGAAAGGCATAGAGCACATGTGCACGCATGGAAAAGGATGCGGCTGTCTCTTTCCCGAGAGCACATCATCAGATGCAACGTGTGAGCCCAGAGGCCACTGCACTCCCCTTGATGTACCCAATGCGATGTGACCGATCAGTTTCACCAGCTGCCATTGCCCCACGGTCCCGTGGAGAAAGACGTGTTGTCATGCGTTGTGGTAAAGTGTGACTGGCCTTACACTCGGTAAATACCTAGCCATGGGCAGTAAGGGGTTTCTGGCTATAGACCTTCGTATAACCTCATACCGGCGCATAACTGACGCACCCTTGACCCAGCACATTTCTGAATTGCCCACTGACACAGGGTGTGGGCAAAAAGGCTTGGAGACGGGCATCGTGTGTGAATTTGTTCCGAGTATTTCTTTTTATCATGTTACAGTTTCCAAAATTCTACGGCTTGGTGGCTATCACTGCATCATTGTCGGGTGCGCAAATAATTTTAGTGAGCATAAGAACAATCGCGGAAAGTCCGCCATGAGCACGAGAAGCTGCAGTGCGAGTGTGGCTGCAACGCTATTGAGTTTCACACGTTCCCCAAAGATCCTTATCTATGCAAGTGGACCGATTCCAACCTAGTGCCAGTGCTCCGATTAGGCTCTCACTGCAAGGTATGCTGTTACTCCATCACATAGGGTATGAAAACGTCTCCACGCAACCGCTAAAGATGCAGCTGTCAAATGTCGTTAGCTTATCTACATTATGACTATAAATTTCATGGCTCGACTCAAAAAATTAATTATGAGAATATGCAGTCGTGGGTAAATTACTTTTAAAGAGTAATTGGTTACAGCAGATAGTTTGTAAAAAATGTATTTCAGTTACAGTTGCATAAAAGTGAATGTAATGCATTACCTTTACAGTTACTTCCTCATAGTAACTTAATTACTTCCAAGATACTTTTTTTTTTGTTTTTTTGTTTTTAATTATGAAAACATTGATAAACACACACGATGCCTATGATTTATAATTTTCTTTTAACTCTCAGAAAACTTGAACTTCACTTTTTGAGACATGTATTATTAGCGTCGCACGGCTTTGTTGAATGAAAGCGTTGGCTATTTCAATACAGGACGGACTAAATAATAAATTTATTTATTTGTGTAATGCAGCCGCAAATACTTTACAAATTTATCGTCACTGAATTTTCCCCTATTGATGCACATCCTTTTCCTTGCTAAAGAGGCACTCAACGGACAAGCTAGACGGCACTACAGTACTCGGGAGTAAAAAGCTTTCCTAATGGTGGGAGTGTCGTTGAGGCTAAAGAGCGCTGTCGAGGTTGCAGCCTTCCATCATTCCGTCTCCATGCTTAGCGGTAATGTCCAGAAATGAAATTAAGATCTCACCCTGAGGTGCCTGTGAAGGTTGGAGGAAGAGGACCTCCCAGCTGCGTATACTCTTGCAGTGTTTGCATTTTGCAGCAGGCACTGAAGATATCGCCACCACATTCGAGAAAGTCAAAGCGCAGTTCATAGCAGGGCCACGGTTACACCTGCTGTTCGTCACTCATGACAGCCTCTGGTTTGAGCGATAACGGTTAATTACAATCCAAATATTTTCCTTCTTCTTTGTGACATTCGCTATCACTTTCTCTTTCTTTTATGAGCTTTCTTATTCCCCTTTCTCAGCTGACGGGAAGGGGGCGATACCGATGAATGGACGAGTCTATTACAATAATAGGGAGGGGAGCAGAAGGCTAGAACCATTTGCAAATAAAGTGGAAAAGACCGTTTGTTTACCCTTTGTTTAAAAAAAGGTAAAGAAAATAGTGAGCAATAGCAACACAAAGTCGTCTCGAAGTGTGTTACGCTCTTTGTTTTAATTTCTTCTATGCAACACAGGACAAAAGACTCGATCGTGGATCATGGGCTCACGACCCCTGGGAAAGGGCAAGTCGACCAGTAGAAATATTGTCTCTGGCCCCGGTCACACTGTTTCTACTGGCGGCGACTCGCTTTCACAAAGAAAGCTATTGCCGCGACAGGGGCTCTCGTTTGGCGTAAACAGTTAACCATTAGGTGTCTACGCGTCGCGTGTTTCAGCAAGGTGGCTCTGTCACTTGGCTAAAGAGGTGGGGGTGTTCGATGAGGTCGGAAAGGTGAAAACGGGGCTAGAGAGCCCCGCACGAAAATGTTGAAATAAAGCGAATGCTAAATGCGCTTTTACGCACAATGAAAAATGAGAAACAAAACAGAAAGAACGCCTGCCCTCTGCTCCGGCACTTTGATCTGATAAAAAAGGTTTTGAGTACTTGTTTTATTTTGTCGTGTCTAATGTGGGGCCCAGCCTCCGCACGTGGTCGAACCTGCTGTATTGTTCACAAAATAGGATAATGTTTTTATTTTTTTTTCGCAAAAGGTATTTGTATTTTTGCGAATACTTATTAGTTATTTTCTCAGAAAAGTATTTAAGTTATCGTTACAGTTACTGCAAAAAAATGTATCGAGTTACAGTTAAAAATTACAAAAAAAAAAGTAACAAGTTACAGTATTGCGATACTACCCAAGGCTAAGAATATGTTACCCTATGGTGACAAATATGCGGCATACCACTCAAAAGAAAATTTTGTGCCTCAAAAAAAAAAAAAAGCTAAAAAAATGATCGTTTAATTTTCTTCTTTTTTTTTTTAAGCACTTCGGGTTGGGCGAAGTTTGGGCTTGGTCTCCTCTTCAAAAAGCAGGTCGGGTTTAGGCCAGGTACGGACTCATGGTTAAAATCCAGATGGGCGTGTACTGTGTCTTTATACTAGTAGTTTCGGTCAGGTCAAGCCCTTAGATGCCGGCTCGTGGAGTGCTCTAGTATGTGCTAAAAGAAACGCACACCGTCTTGTTAGGTTATGTTGAAAAGTTAGACATGTTCAGTAACATTGACCTTCCAAATTTTCTTAAAATATTTTTTTTCTTTTTCTTTTGGCCATTTAAAGTTTTTTTTTTTAGATTTTACTTTACTCTGGAAAACAAAAAAGTGAGGGCATCCCATGAACCTGGTACAAGACTGTTTTAGAAACTGAGAAAGCGGTACATATATGTCCCTCTGCCTCACACTAGGTTCTTTGGCTTGCTTAGCGCGGACCCGTCTCGAGGATTTACGACGCCCTGTTGTATTGACACAGTGGGGAAGGCTGATGAGCAGTTTTTTCTTTTCTTTTTTTTATATATTATTTTTGTGCATAATTTGATTACATTAGCAGTTTTAAATCTATGGTACTCAATTGTAATTGTTTTTGTTTGCAGATTATGTTGATTATAGTTAAACAGCAAAGTCGGGCGATTCGTCTGCAGAATTAAAATGAGAAGCTGAACCGAAATCTAAGATTCTAAAAGTAACCCCCATATTAGCCTCCCTCAACACTACTATACCCGAAAACAAAAATCACACACAGGGATAGCGATTGGATTATTATGTTTATTTGAATAAAAAGTTGATCAGGCGAAGAATCGGCCAGAAGCCGCCAGTGCGAGCGAGGCCTTCTGGGACTACTTGGACGGAGCTGACATTGCAATGATCTCAATTCGCATTCTCCTTTGTGGGACTGCCGTAGCGGCCGTGGTGGGCAGGTCTGCGGATCGCCGTATGAGCACACAGGCGGCGCCTGCTTTTATCCAGTATTCACAACTTTAGCCCGCCGCTCGCCCTCCCACGGACGAGCAGAGAACTAGAAAAACAGGAACGGCAGCGGCGGCGGCGTGGAAAAGGTGGCAGGGGCTGTCAGCCTAGATGCGTGAAGCGGTTTTAACGAAAAAAGTGAGCGCGTTAAAATAGGAATTCTTGTGCTCCGCCTCGCAGCAGCGTTGCACGAAGGACCCGGATGTCTAATTTCATTAGGGACTTTTCGTATATTGCATACGCTTCGTATTTCTGGTCTGTGCATGACCGTCAGCTCGATCTGTGCTCAAGGTGACGGCAAACGTTCCCGCTAATAATGTAGAGCTCTAGCGTTCGGTCTATGAAAAGTCTATTCTTTGCCCTAAGTAGGAGAAAACTGGTCGCGCAACGATATGTCGAGCAATACACGTCGGGAATGGGTTTGGGTTGTAGGAACATGACCATTTATTCCAAGCACTTTTAAAACATAAAATATGCATACTTGCTTTCAGGTAATCACAAAGTAAATAAAGAAATGCTCGAAGCATTTTAAGCGCGTCTGTGTTAGCGAGCCATTCGTGACGAGAGCTTAGAATGGGCACTTTTGGCGAGGGGGGTCGCAGCGTTGCAAATCACACGGTACAAAAAAAAAAAAAAAAAAAAATAGGTGCAGTATATTAAAATACACATTTTTGGTAGAGCAATAACTTAAACCCCTAAACACGCCGATTATGGTAATAGGCAGCTTTAGCATAGCGTTACTGCAGGCTACCGTTGGCTGCCGTGAAAACGGCAACGCTATTGGCACGTGCCGAAAAACGTGTTTCAAAGGCGCAGCGCAAGCCTCCGGTTGTAATGCTACACTGCATGGTAGCCCGTGGTAGTAAACTTCCTATCAAAACCGAGATGGTGAGCCACGAGTTGCGAGCCTGTGACATGAATGCATCAATACAGTGAACACTGCTCTTCCGAAGCTTGACGGGTCACCGTGGGCGGCTCACTTTCTAGAGCACTGATGGCGCAAACACGATATCTTCATCACCCTCAAAAATATTGTGCCACAAACAGTGACTTGGCCAGTGCGTAAAACGCGCTCGCCCACCGCAAAGCTTTGCAAGTCGAGGTTTCTGCAACTTTTAAGTATCAGCATGCTCATTTTGCTAACGCGCATCCACATCTCCGCATTGCCTGTAATATGATCCTGCCCTAACCACTTCGCGTTTGCAGGCAAATAAATCATTTCTATTGCACTGACGAGCGTCAGCGAGCAGGCGCACGGGAAACCCTGGAGAATCTATCCCTGTCTCTTCTGCCATCTTGAAACTACCGCCCCACCACCTATAGGGCGTCATACCAGCGACCTCAGGTGTTGAGCACGCAGTCCTAACTTCGCACTCTGTCTGCTAATATGGCTGCGTGTGGCAGCGGCAGCAACGGCAGTGACGTGATGTCGGGAGCACGAACAACTGCCGAAGAAGAGACATGGAGTGGTACTGTACAGCTAAGTTTCGTCCGTGTCATCAGACGAGAGCTATGACGTGATGAGAATTTTTGGGAACTGTTTTGTACCTCCGAACTATGGCCCTTTACGATTGCCAAACGAGGTCCTGTTTATCCAGTTTGTCCGTCCTCACTTCTATTACAAATATTTGATTCCGCTTGCAAAGAAAGAGCAAAAAATATTTAAACATGAGCCAAATGAACGGAATTCATGCATATTGGAAGCGCCAGATAAAGTTGCGGCTGGGGCAGTTCGTGCTAACCAAAGATTTAAAAGAAACGAGAACAGCCAAAGGCTACATACGCTGAATAACACCTTGTCAAACTGTCGATTATGATACATTTGTTTGCTTTTATGGCTGAGTGGCCGAGCACGCCTACTTTTGGTACCGACCTATCCAGAGTTTCAAAGGGATACTTCAACGAAATTTGAAATATTCCCGTCGTGTTCAAAAATAGGTTGAATATGATCCACAATATCCGTAAATGACAATCGCACGTTTGTATTTTGATCCTGGTGGCTGTATTTTTCGTTATAAACGGCCCACTCTGGCAAGCGCTCGGAGAAGGCCCAGCTTAGAGCACGTGACACCCAACGCAATCGTGACGTAGGTCGTCTCAAGACGAGCAAAGCTACGGCGAGGCTGACGTTGAAAGGATGGCCTAGTCGTTCCAGCCACCGCAGCGGCTGCTTTTGTATGAATTTTGAGTGACGGGTTAATCTTCTATAATCTTCTAGGGGGACAATAGCGACTTCTGCGGCGCACAAAAGGGATTCTCGGGAAGAGGGGAGTTCCTCCTTCCCCCTTCTCTCTTCGTGGCCGGAGACGAGACAACCTCCGTCACTAGCTGTCAAGGTTCCTAGACGAGCATTACAAACGAGGCGTTAGCGACATTCACCAGGTGCTCTTTGCTAATCGTTTAATTTGTTTTAAAATTACTTTTTGAGACTTTTTTAACAAGATATTGGTATGTTCCATGTGATACTGCTCTTTTGAACACACATAGACCAAAAAATGAGCGCCGAAATTTCGTTGTAGTATCCCTTTAAGTTCTACTCCTTTCCTGATTGTACTTTTCTTTTTCTAGTTTAATAGAACAGCCATGTAATTTGCCCATCACTGCATCTTTGAATGAAATATTGATTGAATATTTTTTTCTCTTTTGCACCACATGTATTGTGATTGACAATGGGAATTTTTGAGCAAATAGAAAATTAAAAAAAAAAAAAATAAACATTCAACACATTCTGATTCTTTTTTCTTTTTTTCTGTACATACAAGCTATCCAAATCAATAAATGATGGCAGTTGGATGGCCAGCTCATCAATCGAGCCATACTCTGTTTCACCTAAAGTCAAGTAAACCCAAGGCTGCCGGCGTGAGCTCATAGCTTCAGCATATTTTTACTGCCAGAGCGCACGTGTGATGAATGCAATCGCTGCAGCTACTACTTGCGTCTCCAGTGTCGCTATGTGCTTGTTACCAGCAGGGGTTTAACTTGGTTGGCAATAACTTTAGTCGCGGGCAAATGTATGATCACCCGCGCAAGAGACACTTTCAATGCACCGTCACTCGTTCGCGCAACACGTGAAGCCGTTGTTGCTGCATGCACGCGTTCATAGTTTCCACAGTGAAGCAGAAAATGCAAGTACATAAATATTATAGTCTGAAAACAACGAAGTTCCTTGTGCCGCCATATTTCTGAGTTTCAGGCTGATGTTTTTCGCTGGCCAGCTGGGACTTCATAACAGTTTTGGGTCTCTTGGCTCTTCTCATGGTCTCCGTCTACAAAGTCGTTTGTACAATACGGTCGCTTTTGACAAGGACCAAAGCCATCTGTCAAAGGCGAACCACTTGAATCAAAAGTTTCTGCACTGCGAGCTTGTGTGGAGTCGGGCGCACAGGCCTGTCGCTGTATACTATGCCGTTTTGAACAGTTTTGCACAGCGCAATGTTTTGGCATATCTTTTAAGCTGTTTCACACCCGGTGGGTGCCACACGCTATCCTAGAAGCTGCTGCATCGCCACATTCACCGCGCAACTGCCGAGAAACGAGCGGAGCGAGGGTTGTGACATCACAAAACGAGCTTCTGAAAATGCTTTCCAGGTGCACCCTACAGTATCAGTTTTTTTGTTCAATTAAGTTTAGACGGTATTTTTTTTTAAATATCATTTATTAATAAGTGATAGGCTATAAATGCTAGTAGGAACCAATTATTACAACCTATATTTTCGGTTCAGTATCCCTTTAAATTATGATTCAGAAAACCATTTTCTGCCTTAGGTGAAGATGGTGTTCAGTGAAGCCTCGTACCCTTGCCGACATTACACTGAGACATGATTATAGTCAAGAGCTCAAAGTACCTGGTTTCTGGGGCCCTTCCCTCCACCAGTCAGAGTGGTTGCCTTACTACATGCCTCTTGCCCCTCACGGCAGGATGATCCGTTAGAGGCAGCCGTACCTGAGGTACACGAAGTGGACGAGTCTAAGCTGCTGCCTGCTGACGTGCCTTTGGATCAACTGCTGCATGTTGTCTTCCTGGATATCGACAAGAGGAGGTGAGGAGTTCACTAAACGACAACGGCCTTAAGTACTTTGTACTTAAAATGTCCCTGAAAAAAAAAATATATATATATATTTTTATCCGGTCTGATTGGGATTTGGTGTCAAAAAAATAATTTTACGCGAAAAAAACAAAAAAATAAGAGCAAAATTGACGGCGCGAGATTTATTTTAAATTTTGTGCACAAAGTCCATGCCATCACGGAATGGTCAAGCACTCTTTTCACCTTAACGACATGGTTATACATTCTGTCAACCTCAATGTGATGGCCCAAGCAGATCCACCTCTCCTTTACGCTCCCGAAATGCCGAGAGAGAAAACAAGCGGAAAGGAGGTGACTACTGACTAAATCACGTCCCACACCGTCAATATTGCTCTAATAAGGTTGTTTTTTTTTTTGTTTTTTTTTTTATAAAATTTAGTTTTTTGCTTGCATGTCTCAACCGAACTGTTAAAAAAAAAATCTTTTTCTTTTCATGGTCCTTTTAAAAGAAAGTTGAAGAGGTTCTTGAAAAAAAATGAGTTAAAGGTGAATAAGTATTTTTATCCCGTGAACCTGAATATCACGTTCGTTTTCCCCGAAGATGTAACTAAACTCGAGAAAACAAAAAATACCTCCGACCAGTCGCTACGTTGTACTAGTATCTTTCGGCTGTCAAGAGTGTGTCGATCGTGTGGGCAGCTCGTGCAATTGCAAGCTTGCCAGGTATACTCCCCCACACTGAGACTGGTCATGACGTCTTTTTCTGGCCTTTTTGAAAATAGCAGTGCTAAAGACTCCAGAGAGCGGAGATTCCGAAAACTCCCAATGTGACTTGACGCTCCGGGAAGGAGGGCCTTCAGCGGTACTTTGAATGTGATTTTCTGCTGCCCCTGTGCACCAAAGTGAAAAATAACCTCAATGCTTGTGATCTTGGCGGCCAAATGAGAATGATTTAAGTGTTTTTTTCTCAAGTACAGACGCACTTCAGTCCTTCTTTGAAGTATTTGAGTAAGATCAGAGTACTTTTAATTTTACTTTAATACATTCCATAAGCATGTGCATTGTGCAACACGATTAGCTTAGACATGACATGGGCACTTTTCTGGCATTTATTTAAGCAGGGTAGTGTCAGACACCGAATTTAAACAGATATTGCATGTTTGTGCTGCACGTCTACTATTCTTGGAAAATATTCTTTTGGTCCTTTCCTTGGAAATTACAACAGTTAGCTTTCAAGTGCATTTACCTAGAGTCGCTGTATGGGTTCTCAGAGTAACGAAACTTTGAAGGTTCATTCTAGAACCGGGCACTGAAACCGAAACCATGGCGCCGCCATCTTGGGTCTACGCGTCGGCAGGGGTATGAAGGCAATAGTGAGTGATGTACATTGGAGCGTGTTGAAAGAGCTGGTTCATTCCGCGATACGCGGAATAAACCAGCTGTAATTGGCACTCACCTCACAAAGCTTGCTTGTTGCAGTGGGCTCGAAATCTTTCCGTTTTGCTATGGCCAGCCAAGTCTTCTTCCTCTGTCTTGCAGTTGTGTTCTTTCCAAACGGAATCCGGATGAGTCTCTTTCCATCCTCAGACCTGCTGCTGCACCTAAAAGCTCAACAAGCAGGCATTGTGCCACTAAGTACACAACCTCCTTGCTTTTGACGTCGGTAACCGCGTAGAAAAGACGGCGCGTAAACGCGCGTTCAATGAGCAGTTATTTGCTGGACCCAAGATGATGGCGATTAGAGCCGCTTGAAGTGCTGATGGAGGTGAGTCTAGCGGTGCTTGTGTCACGTGATCACTACCGTCCAATGATGCTCACCAAGCCAAAACACGATCGGCTAGAGTGAATATGTTGCCGGCAAAACACAAAAAGAAAAGGAATGTGTTACTCTGGGAACTTGTACAGTGACTCTAGATTTACCTAACTTGATCTATGATAGTGGTTGAAACCGCCGAGGGATCCGCCTTGCTGAATGTCATAAGCCTGTGCTTCTGTTGAAATATTGAGTTTTTTTTTTGGGGGGGGGGGGCTTTTACTACTAGGGCCAATATATTTTTCCATACATCTTTCTTGGGAATAAGTGGGCACCAGGGTGGATTGTATTAAACAAAACAAACTTTGCCTTGCAAGTGCAGTTATGCAAGGAGACAGAGTGTCTTATCCTATTTCTAAGCTAGTTTTCTTGGCTACATTGTTGGCAGGTGATAAGCACTCGGGACATTCCCCGCTTCATTCACCGTCCTCTGCCACAAAACGTTTTTTGGGGTTCCGTGACTTTGCCGAATCGAGATACAGCTCCTAAAACTAGAAGAGAGCCTTTCAAAACGGAATTGCAGATTCCCCAAAAAACGTTTTGTCCATCATACTTTATCCACACTCAAAAGCATGTTTTTCTCATTGTGCCGTTTACTTTCCTCAAAGCGTGAAATAATCCACCAGTTGCTTTGTTCTGCTCCACATACTTTTTACCTTAGTCACCGACAAGGTGAGAACGGGAGGGAGGAGCTTGAGTTGCCCCGCCTCCAGCGCCAGTTTCCTACGACGTCTCGTGCACATTGAGCATGCATGCACAGCCCAATCACGGCGGGAGCCAACAAGCGCACGCTGGAAGTCGGAGCGTTCGAAAGACATGCCCTGCCGTTTGCACGCTGGAAGTCTGAGCATTCGAAAGACATGCCCTGCCATCCTCATTCTTTTAGTGCCTAGGGGGTGTGCGAACGGTGGTTCGAGCCGAACGGCACCACGTGATTCGTAACCCTAACAGCACAAGGGAAAGCCACCACGGCAGTCTTTTTTTTTTAGCAGTGTTGGAGCTGGAAGTGACACTGTGCTATTTGATTTGAACGACTATTTGCACGCCCCCTACTTTTTGCTTGTACTGTATATTGCGGGCTATAGTCCAGAAACTACGCATTTTTGAAAGTTTAAATTTTATGCGGTGCAGATTGTTTACGGTTGCGGGTCTTTCCCACAGCAGGCGGCGGTGGTGGTTCTGCCGCCCACCAGTCTCGCTGACTGTCCACCCCTGCTGCGTTCAACCCACCTCTACATTTTGCCCACACTGAACAAAACAACGATAGTTTTCAAAATGCGCGGCGCCCCAGATTGTTGTGTTTGACAGACTTGCGGGGCACTGCTCATTGGAACTGCATTATCCCGGCAAACAAAATCACGGCAGCGCGGCAGAGAAAGGGCAGCGAAGAACAAAAGTTCCAGTAATTGCCCCCTCCTGCTCCACTCAGCACCCTGGAAATTGTCAGATGTCCTCAACAATTTCCGGGGACAAGCCTGGATGAGGACTATACAGGAATTTAGTTTTTCAATATTGCTCATTATAGTGAGACATGGCGAATTTTGTGAATGAAAGAGTTTAGCGGTGATTTATGTACGATACAAGCTTTTTTGTGAGCTAAGAAAGCATAGATTTGCTCTGCTCTGTATGAGAAGACTTTCATGTCGATTGAGCACCAGGTGCAGTCTATACACGGCGTGCAAACTAGGCAAAAACTTTTATTTTTGACCCCAAGTCTGCCCCTGTGGACTACTATATACCAGGTGCGGACTATAGTCTGGAAAATATGGTACTTTACCCAACACTTTCAAGCTTAAAACGGTAAATGTCGCAATATTCCACAGTTTCTTCGACGAAGTGAAGCAAGCCTTCTTGCCGGGCACCCTCGTGTACCTGTTCTTTGGTGACCCATCCGTGTTGCTGCCCACCAGGGAACATCCTTTCTACAAAGAGAACAAGAACAACTGGATCTACTTCTACCCGGACTGCAGCACCGAGTACGGCTCATACCTCGTGGCTGCACCCGCAGTGGTGAGTGGCACGGCTTTGGCACTCGCCGCATACTGCAGTCTCGCTCATCATTGCCCGAGGCACTCCATCAAGCGGCGATTGTGCGGACATCCTACAGTTGCATTTCGAACGAGGATGGTCCGAGGAAAATTACCCGGCCGAAATGTAACGTTTAGACATCGAGCAACCCCTATCTCTCGATTGACGGCGGAGGCACCCTTCCCCCCGCTGTGATACAATAAAGCAGTTGAGAGGCCTACGGCCCTCTAAAGAATAATTCCCATAATGGTGAGTGATTGGCTCATAGTTGTGCATCAGTGTGCTATTCCATAAGATATTCTGGAATAGCGTTTAAACGGCAAAAGCGCTTTACACGGGGCAGAGAGAGTCGGGAAAGTTTGGGAGCTCAGGGAACCGCCGAGGTTAGTCTGGGCAATTCCTGGGTTCCTAAGAAGCCAGTTTGAAAATCCACAGTCTCGGACTTGGTGGAACACCCTCAGCTGGAGCTGTGGTTTGGTGAGCAGGCATCGTTTTCCTATGCTCTGTTTGATCTTCCGATGGACTGCAACGGACGCACCATGCCATCGAGGCCAATTTGCGAGGGGCGCAGCAACTTACAAGGCACATAGTCACGCAATGTGTTCGCAGCGCTGGATTGTCCGATGTGGCTAGCAGCATCCGTTGCAGCCCGTCGCAAGGTGAAACAGTATAGCTGCGATAGAAGTGCCACGGGCCTTCACGCCAGATTGCACCACGAATGAAAGTCCGCTATATTTTGCGCCGAAGTGTCATTTTTGCTAAGAATTGCGCCACACCTGCGCCGAGAGGAGCTTAGGCGAAGCAAAGGATAAAAACATTTTATTATTGGTTTACCCCACTTTTCAGATAGGTAGAAGGAAAGGAAAATGGCGTCTTTACTCACCGTGTAGGTTTTTTCATCGGCACAGTCAAAGGCTCGAAAACATATAACCACAAACTTAGACACTAAAAGTGCAAGTCACGGGACATCGTGGCACTTGATTGGTTTAGTCGATGAAAGGATGCTTACAGCGAGATAGACGAATAACACGACGTCACTCTTTGACGCTATTCGGTTGGTCCCATCGGCTTGAAGCAGACGAAGTATTGAGATTCCTCTTCAATTGCGCTGGCCGATTAGTGTCCTGCTGGGTTGAACGCAGAGATTGTCTAAATTTCCAGACGATTTCGGCGATGTCAAGATAGAAAAGACGCGAGAAACACAGTTAATTAGTGGGATGGCAGCTACTCTGCTAAGACAAACTAGGGTCTTAAGCTCCCAATGATATCACTCAATGTGTCTTCCGCATGCCTCCGTGCTGCATCCCCGCAGGGGGCGGGGCACCTGTGAAAGCAGGTGTTTGGAGAGTGGCGTCTCCACGGACCCCGAGCCATTCGGGTTCGCCCGCCCACGTCTGGCTGTGTGTGGCTTTCCCGTGTTTGGGGGAAAGGGCATCCTGGGTGGTTGAGCCGAGCCCGGGGTAGGTTTGGACCCTTCGGGGCCCCCCGGGTGAGGCAATACACCACTTCGGCCCCCGCTTCTCGTAGACGGGAGTCCTGGTAAGGCTTGGCCAGGATGATTCAGTCTAGTCGCCTTTTCTTCTACTATCCCCTCTTTTCTCCCCTTCTCGCTCCCTCACTTTCACCTTCTTTGGCGGCAAGGGCCAACCTTGTGTGGTGGCAGATACCCTTATCCTAACCACACTTGGGTATAGCACCTGGTTAAGTGCTAGTAGATCAGTGATTCCAGCAAAGCCCATTTTGTTATGGGCTGCTGACTACTCCCTAAGTTGGGCTCGATGGTGGGCGGCACACCGCAGGTGCCGAAATCCTTTTCCCATTCATATGGGTACCAAAGCTAAATCTTTCCTTGATCGGGCCCCAAAAAGGACCCGTACTGAAGAGACAACATCAACAAGCCTTACCTTGCCAGGCATGAATTTTCCTAAATTTTTAGTAATGCACTCGGAGAACAAAGATCAACCACTTGCAAAGCTTTCCCTGTTCTTGGTCACAAAGACCCTAGAAAATGTAATTGAAAAGTCTTTTAAAGCCAAAAAACTTCCATCTGGCAACCTGCTTGTGGAGGTCACAAATGCTGAGCAAAGCAAAGCACTTCTTGCACTCAACCAAGTAGGAGATTACAAAGTATCAGTGACTCCACATCGCTCACTGAACAGCACGCAGGCTGTCATCTCAGAAGAGGATCTACTTGGAATATCTACCGACGAGATACTTGAGGGACTTCAAGATCAAGAGGTGGTCGCTGTGCGACGAATGACTATCCGTCGCGACGGTGAAGAACGGGACACAAAACACATTGTGCTAACGTTCAACTCGACGACGCTCCCCTCCACAGTTAAAGCCGGGTATCTCAACTGCAAAGTTCGCCCCTACGTCCCCAATCCAAGGCGTTGCTTCCGCTGCCAGCGCTTTGGACATGGGTCACTAACCTGCAGAGGAAAAGCCACCTGTGCAAAATGTGCAAGCACTGACCACCCCTCCGACAACCGTGGCAACAATACCAGTGATGTGATTGCTGTGCCAATTGCGCCAAACTGCGCCGAGGGGCTAACCCTGCTACATCCTGCTACATTTTGCCAAAATATGGGTAATCTGCGCCAAGCCTGCGCGAAAGGAGCAATTTTAGTCGCCTTTCCACACCAAAACTAAGCTGAGTACCATAATTGAGCATGCGTGAGCTAGGTGGCGCAAGCGGCCGCCCGACACAAAGTACCCTGCATCAATGGTCCATCCGGTCTTGCATGATTTTTCCCACCGTCTCTCGTTTCTCGCGCTCGTAAGTCTCGTCTCGCGTCTTTTTAAATTTTTTTTTCAAACATAGACGCGGGCATGTGTGGATGCTCCGACAGTAGCGTACCGGGTACCAGGCCAGCCATGCCGTCATTCTGTGAAACGAAACCGCGTTTTTGCGCGGCGGGAGTTACTCTGTGAGCTGAAGCACTCGCTCCTGAAAACAACGGTCGTAGGAAAACTATATTTGGTCTATGGCTGTCAGTCACCGTGGTCGCGCAACGTCGGGTGTTGCTGTCTCCACGTCGCTGCACACGTGGCGCTTTCTAAACTGAAATGTAAGGGCTGCCGCATGTTCATGAACATTCCTGTTGTTGCTTAAATCATACGCTACTGCAAGAATCCCTCTTTACCTGCGTTTGCTGTGTCAAAGTATTGATTACCTAGGTTCCTCTCAGTAGGCTTCCTTTCGAGAGGGACCCCGGTACGCGAAAAATCTCCCGCGAAAGAGAGTTGGTGAAGAGAAGTGATCTAAAACAAAGAAGGCAATGTATGCACGCTGAACCCGCAATACGCTCTTGTTTTTCTCGAGTTCAGTCATTGCACAAAGCGCTCCAAGAACTTTTTGCCCCTGGCTCGCGATGTCTTGCATCGATGCGCTCAGGTTCCGTTTTTTGTGTGTGTTTAACGTGTACCCTGTTTGAACGCCTTGCAAGCACGTTCCGCTGGACTTTTTTGTCGTATGCTGGAGACTTACATTTTGTTTACAGTTTTGGGAACCAGTTGGCAAAGGAGCGGAGTGACATGGTTTCGGTTTCGGTCGAACAGCCATCTCCGCTCGCGCGACAAAGCATGTGTAACTGCAAGCCTGCCGAAGTTGCCCTCATGTGCATGCGAACGTGATTGCACGACAGAGGCACCAGCCAAAACGCTTGCAATCCGTTGTGTTACGTTTGCTTACTCTTGACGAAAATCGGGCCTTTTCAGGAACCAGTAAAACGGCGGCAAGCGGTTTTTCGGAATTCCTTGGCAACGCCTACAGCACTGTACACTTCTGGGATGTTTCAATGTTTTTTTGAAGACATTGAAAGTTGACATTCATTCTGTAGGCAAAGCGAGGCTTGGAGCAGCCTTGTCGAAAGTTTCGAAAAGCGAAAAGAAAAGCACCCGCTAAGTCTCGTAATGCACCTTTGTCTTGTGTACAATTTCGCATTGCTCTGCAGTAGTTGCGTGTTTCATCAGTCGGAGACCTGCTTCCATTATATTATATAACTAGTCAACCTACTGCTGTGATATTTACTACTAAGCTGATCATTTTCAAATAAATTTTTGTATGTGCAGTTTGGTTCTCATTTATCTATGAGCGATATGAAGGTGAACAGCCCTCTTCTTGTTTTTGTCGCTCCTGCAAGTTTTGGAACAAGCTCTGTTCCAGAAGAGGGCTAGAACGGAAAGTTTAGACCCCAAGCCACGTACCATTTGAAATGTTGAGAGTTAATATAGCTTTAGGGAGCCGTAAAACAGGCAAGAAACCAGGTAAGGTGTTCACCTTCATATTGCCGGCAGGTGTACATATATATGTATTATTTAACTGAAGCATTGCAAAATGTGTCATGCCATTGGCATTTCAGTTACATATTGAAAGACTCCCAGGTGGCCTAACTTGACCATAATTTATTTATTGCGGCGAGCAAAGTGCCCTTCGTTTATCCACCACTTAAAACAAATATTTTTATTTTTCTAAGAATATCTGCTCCAAAAGCCACTTTTGGTGCTCCGACACACTGTTTTGGCTGCTCCAGAAGCCACTTTTGGTGCTCCGACACACTGTTTTGGCTGCTCCAAAGGCCACTTTTTCTGCTCCAAAACACCGTTTTGGCTGCTCCGATAGGTGCTCCAATACGGCTTAGGTCAATCACATCACTGCAATACCCATTTTTGCGTCAACTGCCAGGGAACACACCCAGCATATTCTCGCAGCTGCCCCCTGTGGAAGAGAGAGAAGGAAATTCTCTCACTAAAGGCCAAAGAAAATATTTCTTACCCAGAGGCACGGAAAAGATATTCTTTTATTTCTCAAGGCTCTTATGCCGAGGCCACGCGCAGGGGACCGGCGCGGTCGACGGCGTAAACAGGAACGCAGATTTCAACGGACGACCTCAGTCCCCCTTAACCTCATCCGGAGTGGCACAAACCACTTTAACCCCAAAACGAAATGTGGATCCTATCGCTTTGGGGTCCATTCAAGC